TTTGTCTCAAACAAAAAACACTAGTCATTAGCTATAAACAGAAGGAAAAAGGGTTTTGACAGTTTCATTGAGTCCTGTAGAGTATAATTGATTTGCTTATGTGGTTTGTGTGTATGGGTTTTGAACGAATCCTGAGGATCCTTTCTGCTGTGTTCTGGTGCACCTTCTGCTAACGTGGAGGAGAGGGGGTGAGGACCCCACCCCAATTATAAATTTATAATCACATATATTCATATTGAACAACTTTCACATTTAGCAAACATAAAAATCATATTATGTAGTAATGGAAAAATTCACAATAATACTAGTCCATAACACAAACAATTGCAGATCCCTAAATTTCCTAACCCTCCATAAGGACAATATAAGTATAGAACAAACAAACCTAGTTGCAAGAAAATCTTAGAATTGAATTGGTGGGGTGTGCTAGGTCTAGGCTGTAGTGTAGTACCAAGACGACACTTGAGAGTTCCGATAGCAAGCTACCATAATGAACTCCTCCCACTCAAAAAATTGAGTTAATATCGTGTGGATCGATGACCCACGCATATCAGATACTACACTTAATCTTAGCCAAAAGGCCGAGAAAGGTATGCTTTACTTTGTGCTCAGCCTTGGCCTTTATTTGCAGCTCATTTTCTTCTTCCTAATGTACCAGCGATATGGTATCACTCGTTAAAGCGATATGGGATACTTTCAATAATTTCCATTTCCTCCAACTAATTAGAATGAACCTTTTTTTGTTAAGCTTATACAAAAAATTGAGGATTTTCATAGTACATAGTTTTTTTGTTTTATTTTTACACTTTCATTGAATTTTTGCTTGTGATAATAGGCTATTTATCCTTTTTATCGTATTATCAATTAGTGATTATCAAGAAATTTACCTGAAATTACATAACATATAATCTAATTGTATAAATACTTTTTACTAAATTAAAAAACTAATGATATTGCGAATGAAGGTGTCTCAGTGTGACTAGACCTATAGGGTGTGTAGAAGCAGCCACTTGTATTATGGTAGATTGTCTGTGTCACATCCCTTAGAATATATGGATCCTTTCTCAAAACTTGCTAACACAGAATGCTTTGTGCCCAATGATATTGCTAATGGTCTCTACAAGACTACAACATAACGGGTTCAAAGTCATCTCATATCTCAAACTCAAGAACTAAGCTACAAGTAATTTTAATCGACATTTTCTTCTTCTAATTTGTCATCTCATCATTTTCATGGACCACAAAACTATATTTTCATCTGTTGCCACTTTGAGATTAAAGTCCTAACACTACTATATCAATCTTCAATGTTCACGTTGTTTCATTTAAATTCATCTCAATTAAATAATTTCAGTAAGAGTTAGTCTTTTTTCAAATATATGAATCTCCAACAAAACTAAAAGATCCCTCTAAAATAAATGTAGTAACACTATGCTCCATTCACTATGTCAACAAGTTTCACAAACTTTCATGTGTAACAAAACAAACTTTAATTTCATTTTCTTGCATACTATGCAACAAAGTACACAATTAAAATTAATTAAATACCATAATATTCATACATAGGGACACATAAAGATCCAATTTAATTTAATTTTTTTGTAAAAATAAAAAGAGAAAACAAAACAAAGTTATTCAATTCACTCAAAATGATGGTATAACCCAAGTTAGGGGACAAATAGAACTTAGTGACGCGCCCATGTATCTTCGCTATCATTAGTGAAGTATATATGATTACACTTGACTCCAATAAACTTAGATGAATCAATACAAATTGCTCCATTAAGCCCCACTAAAATTGTGTAATCTAATCTGAATTAACTCATTCTTGTTTAGGTTTATTTCAAACACTTCAAACTTAATAATTCCATTTTCTTGAAATCGGAAAATAATTAATAATGATCCAAATAACTCGACTAGATAGTTCCATTGAAATTTTCTATTTTCAATGGTAACAAGTTTTATAGCTCGTACATCAATGCTAGTCCTCGGAACTTCAAAAGCCCAAATTTCGCCACCAAAAGTAGGAAAATAAAATCAATTGAGGTTAACATAAGTCCAATTGAGGTCTCCAGGTCGCCAAAAAGCTACATACTAATTGATTACTGTATTATTATAAATGGCGAGTATATAATTTGATGTAACAGAAGGATTAGCAGATAAAACAGCTCTAGCCATGTACTAATAAAGCATTCAATTTATTTAGAGAGTTATTCCCTCCATCTAACAATAGTTGTCCACTATACTATTTTGGAATGTCCAACAATACTTGACTGTTTATGAAACCAATGGCTAATTTTACACTTACTTCTCAATTTACCCCTATCATTAATTATAATTTATAATCATTTCTTTAATACATTTTTCAAGACATTGTATTTATTATATTCAAAAGTAATATATTAAAATTACCCTTCTATTTATAGTTTCTTAAGAAGTGTGCAAAGCCAATAGTGGACAAATATTGTTGGACAAAGGGATTAATGTTTTTGAAAAAGGTAGAACCTGAGTAAATTGATTTTGGAATTTTATCAATTAATAGGGGTAAAATAGTAAATTCACTATGTTAATTATTATTTTCTTAATATGTATGTCAAGTAAAAAATGGACAAGTAAATAGGGACAGAAGGAGTACGTAATTACACTACGAAATATAATTTCTAAAAATTCCTACAATTTGAATTAATTAAAAAAAATCTTTTTCCTTCTAATTAATTACAAAAATCTCTTTTTTCATTATCGCTCTTACGTCGGAATACATCACTCCATCTACCATTTGAATTAATTACAAAAGTTTTTTTTTCCTTCTCTCTCTTACATATGGATAGATCACTCCACCTACCATATGTTGAATTAATTACAAAAATCTTTTTTTTCCTTCTCTCTCTTAATATTTAGATACATCACTCTCATCTATCAGATACATTACAACTTTGTTTGTATACAATTGATGTTTCTGGTACAAATGTTATAGTCGATACATAACTCCAGTTATTTCAAACCTAAATCAGTATGAGTCTGTTGGTGTTTATGCATTTTAATATTGAAATTAAAATATTAAGTGCATATGTTAGTGGGTATAAGTTGACAAGAATGTAGTCATTATAGTGGTGTAACTTTTGTAATCACTATTGTCATGATCTACCACTAATTTCACTCATTATTCTACCTCATTATACCTTGTAACTCATAAAACCTTTAGGCTATTCATTTACCCAATTTATCACCCAGTATCTTCTTATTCATTGTAAGGAAGAATTTCTCACCTATAAATAGTGATGTCTTCCTTTGGATTGGAAATAACAAGAGATGGAAAAATATGTTAAAAAAGATGAGAAGTGTGGAAAATATTGTAGTATGTAGTGAGGTAAGTGTAGTGAAAGAGAGAGTTGAGACAAAGAAAATATTCAAAGTCTTCAACTATATTCAGTACAAAAAAGAATATTTATATGTTAAAGGAATGTGTTTTTATGTGGAGTTTTGGACTCATCAACTAAATTCTGAGTTGCTTGAATTGTACGAGGTTGTTGGGTTGTTGTATCCTGGAGGGGACAAGTCAAGAGTGATACTGTTGGATCAGTGTAGATTATGTCGCAGTAGGCTTGAATCTCTATAAAGAGAGCGAGATGTATCCACGCCCCAACATAAATATTTGTTTATTCATTTTGTCATTTTATTTTCAACTGTAATTTATCGTATTTGTGGTAGATTACACCAACAAAATCTGTTTTATAGTTATGTATCCGATACATTACATTACTACTTGTTTGTATACAATTTATTTAGTACAAATGTTATTGTTGATACATAACCCTAATTATTTCAAACATAAATCACTATGAATTTGATTTATAGTTATGTATCTAATATATAACTTATGTATCATTTGCTAAGTATCGAGCAAGGAGCAATGTATCCACAAGTTCTATAAAATCTAAGATAATTATAATTTGATTTTTTTTTTTTTTGAAATAGAACATAATTAACACCTAAATTATTGGATTTTTTGTATTTTTGCACAAAAATCGATGTCTTTCATGGGCCATATGGCCCATATCAAGTCTGCCCAAAGAACGAAAGGTATGCTTTACTAATAAGCCAGCGATGTGGTATCACTAGTCAAATGCTTGAACAATTTTATTGTTTTCTGGTTTCTATAATTTCCATTTTCCCCAACTAATTAGAATGAACCTTTTGTTGAGCTTATACAAAAAAAATTAAGGATTTTGATAGTGTAAAGTGTTTTTTTCAACACTATCATTGAATTTTAACTTTTGCGATATATAGTAGACTATTTATCATTTTTATCGGATTATCTATTAATGGTTATCAAGAAATTTACCTAATACAACATAATAAATTATCTAATTGTGTAAATACTTTTCACTAAATTGAAAATATATTGATACTGCTAATGAAGTTGTCTCAGTGTGACTTAAATATAGACCTATAGGTATATAGAAATAATCATTAATACTCGCATTAAAGTAGATTGTCTACGTCACACTCCTTGGTGTACGGTCTTTCTTCAAAACCTGCTGACATGGAATGTTTTTTGTCAAATGATGACCTACTTTTTTTCTCTCCCATCCTATATAATTGATATTTACATTGAAATCTGACTAATTTAAATTCGTGCAGAGAAATTAATAAAGACGAGTACGTACCATGAGGACACAAACTCTTAATCAACCACTTCACCATTACCCTTGTTGGCATAATGACATGCTTTGATTATATGTAGACAGTATCTTTATAAGAACCAAACAAGAAAAAGAAAAAAATGAAATGTGCAAATAAGAAAAGGATGCCAATTGGCCAAAAGATCTTGCCACTATATATAGTATATTAATTACCACCCAACAATTAACATTAATTTATCAACCTTGACAAATGATCACAACTTTGGAAGTTTAATTTCCAACAATTATTTAGCCTATGAATTTCATAATATAGGAAACAAATGTAGCATATATTCTTTTGGATCAAATATTTCAGGTCTAATTATGTGGATTGAAAAAATATTGTGATAATCCTGCAGGTGGATACACAAGAACTTGTGAACTTAATGGCATATTATAAATTGTTGAAGGCAAGGCCGCCATAACATTGAAGTTTTGAATTTCTTCGTATTCATGTGGTACTGCTACTCCATGATGACTTCCGGAATGAACTAGAGACATTACAAGAAAAAAAAGCTTTATTAGTGATCAATATTTAGTGACGAGTTAAAACCCTGGATATCGACCCTAAGAACACACTTAATTACAAGAACAAGATTTATTTTTTGTTCCCTAATTCCTATCGTTCATAAATTCATATGAAGAATCCCATTTCGAGAAAATAATAACGATATCATTTGTCTGAACATATAATATAAATAGCATGGTTATAGTCAAGACCGTCTCAATCATAAGACCACTAAAGCAACCGTTTGGGCTCCCAGATTATTTAATGTGGAGGTTGTTGTAATAATTGAGAAATGAAATAGTGTTTAGATAATTAATACTCTCTCTGTTTCAAAAAGAATGACCTAGTTTGACTTGGAATAGAGTTTAAGAAGAAAAAGACTTTTTAATCATGTGATTCTAAATTAAAGTTATGTCAAATGTACCAAAATGTTCTTTAATCTTGTGGCCTTAAACATGCCACGTGGAAAGTTGAAATTAAAGTGTTGTCAAAAAAAGGAAAAGGGTCATTCTTTTTTAAAACAGACTAAAAAGAAACTAGATTATTCATTTTGAAATAGAGGGAGTAACATCTTTTCTTACACGGCACTTATTTTGTTAACTTATTTAAATCTTCTTGATTATCATAAACCTACATTATTATTCTAGCATTTACCTTTCTAATTCCTTAATTTTTTATTTTTATTCTCTCATTATTGAATATTCTAAAGTCTACATAATCGTAAAACATTTTGCATTATCTAAAATATATTGTTGTGTGTTTATAAAAAGATCAAAAAAAAATTTGGTGTATTCTTTAAATTTCAAGCACTACAACAAATCAATACTACTTTAATATCGTTATATAAACTTTTTAATGTTTTGAGTCAAATTTTATTGTTCTAACTTTATATTATTTCATTGAAAATTTCATTGTTTGCATTCTTACTTCATAAGGTTTGCATACATTCTACCTTCCCGAGACTTCACTTGTAGGTTACGTTAAGTATGTTATAGCTATTCAATTTATATACCATAACTTCTAAAAGAAAAATTAAAGCTTGTTTATGAAATTTGGCTTTAGATCTCCCAAACTTGTTGAGACAACCATGATTATAGTATTGTTATGATAAATATTGTTATAGAAAGGTCTAACCGTTTATAATACAACATTAATATTTGAAAATACCTGATTGAGAGGAGTAATTATTCTGATAAAGACCAAAACTGAAGCTGTTGCTATTGCTATTGTTATTGCTATTGTCCTTTAGGTCAAGATTTCGCGCATCTAGTTTCACTTTATCCTCATCAGACACCACCAACGTCTCCTCCTCGTCCTTCATCAGACCGGTCAGAGGCAACCCGGTCTGATCCCTTATTGGAGGCATTTGAAGTGGAGGTAATTCGTCGATTTCATGCTTAGCTTCATTAAGCAACCAATCAACAACTTTGCTTGGTTGATCTAGCCCTAATTTGTCTTGAAGATCATATAATTGAAGGGCTGTGGGAGCGGAGAGCCTAACTCTCCGATCCCTCAGCCCTTTCACCGTAAGAACTTTGCTGTGACGATCTTTTCCCCCAAATGCTCGTGACACGCGAACGATCCTTGGATCTTTAAATCTTGTCCATGATGATTTTTTTGGAATCTTAGTAACAGTATTATCACTTGTATCTACTTCTCTAGTAATCATCTTTTGTATCTTTCATTGTTTTTTTCAGTGATTTTCTTGCAATTTTCTGTTTGATGGTCCAAAGAAGAAGAAGTGTGTGTGTATATATCACAGTATGTATAAATTCCCTGCTGCTCATAATTAAAAAGCAAAAAATAATTAGGTTGAAATCAAAAAGTGGAATTAAAACTAATTAGGTAATGAAAATAGCAAGCATAATACTTAAAAGAGAGATATTAAACTTGAAGAAATGATACAATTAGTTAAATGGAAGAAAAACCTACATATAATTCTTTTTATTCAATGAAATAAAGGAGTAATTAAAATCTGCTTATATATACATACTCCAAGAAGAACCACATATTTGAAGGCAGCTAATCATAAACTAATGCCCTAGCTAGCTAGCATATATATATATATATATAAAATATAACAATGAGAAAGACTTACATAGTTAAGTTCAATAATCCTCCCTTTTTGGTATGAACAAAGGGTTGTGTGAAGGTTTCAAAAGAGGAAATTCACTTTAGAGAATATAAGTAATTGAAAGAATGTTCAACTTGAGACAAGAAGATGCTTCACTCCAACCCAACAACTTGTTATATATAACAAGCAATGGTTTATAAAGTGACACGTGTCTTTCACATCTCATTAGCTTATTATGGAGCTGATTTTTTGTACAGTCATTTAATGGTCAAACCTCTCTAAATTAATATTCTCTATTTAATCGATGACTTAATATTTATTAATTTAAAGAATATTTTTGAGATCTAATGAAGGTTAATTTAATTACATCATTCGGAAAATGAAACCTCAAGAAATTTAAATGAACCTTCTTGTGAAAACGATATTTATAAATTTGAAGTCACGATTAATAATCTCAGTTACCGCAATAAAATGAATATCAATAGTATGTTAGATTATCCTAGTGAAAATAATACATATTATAAGTTCAAAACTTAGAGAAATTGTGGATAGTATAAGAGAAAATAATGTTGATGATGAAGTTGTTAAGTAAAAATGTTCGTCTTATGCTCTCATCTTTTATACACAGTTAATAAGCAATACTTTATTTGATTTAATTTATGTGATAATTTTTTATTTTTGGAAATTTAAATAATATAAACTTTATCAAATTTTATTATTATCATCCTCAGGAAAAAAAATTTAGTTGAAACAAATCATAAATATTTATACACGTAGTTATAGATTATATCATTAAAAATAAAATAATAATAATAAAAAAGATTATATCATTAAAAAAATTAAATGTATTTTCAAATATTGAAAGATATTACTATTTCTTTTGAGATAAATCAAAAACAAAAAAAGTGTATCGATTCAACAAAAAGAAACCAAAAGTTCACAAAGATAAAGTCCACAAACGTAACCAAGTTTTGGTCTTTCCTTTACTCAAAAGAGAGTTTATATAACCCTTCACTACAGAGAGGACCACTCTTTCGCAGAGAGATTTTGCATAGAATCAGAGACGGAACTAGGTGGGTTCATGATTCGGACAAATTCAGTAGTTTTTTTCGTAGACTCTATATTTGTATTAAAAAAATTAAAAAATTTATGTATAATAACTTGTGAATCCCCAAACAAATTGATTTAGAACTCCCAAACTCCTAATCTTGGCTCTGCCTCTGTCACGGATCACAACATAAATTTAAAGAGATATAATGCGAAGGATATTTTTAGACATTTTAGTTTTCACTTTCTTTCCAAATAGTTTATCATTTTATTTGAAATCAGAATTTGATTGTAAACTAATAACTCGACTCGTACTTCTTAAATTCTAAATAACAGAATAAACAGTCATTTTATAAATTAGGATAATTTATTCTATAATTATAATGTAAATAATGAAACAGATAACCTCATAATTAATAATCTTTTAAAATTATTATCAGCGCCGAACGCGTCGAATAGATTGGAATATATTGATCGATAAGGTAAAAAATGTGCACAAAATCAGTGTAGGTAATAAGTGAGATTCCCATTACTAAATCTTTCTGCAGTCCCACTGTCCACAGCCGCAATTCCCACCGACCCATGATCATGATATTTATTACTGAATTCCGTGTACAAACTTTCCTTTTCATTTTCCTCCTTTTCTTCTGAAAACGTTATTTTATTTATCAAAATTATGAGTATAAATCTGTTGATTCTTCTCTCATGATAAGATAGTATCATAATTCAAAGACCGTTAATAATATTTTTCAAACTAGAATAATTTGAATTCAATCTTTTATAAATATTTCATAAATTTATAAAATATTCGAGATAATTACATGTAGTTCAAACATCTACTTCAACCTTTTCATATAAGTGGGGGGAAAAAGAGAAGAATAACTCTTGGCCCCAAACGTGAAAGCATATATCGGGAGATTGTGCCTAATTAAAGTGATGGGACTTTGTGAATGTGAAGATGTACGGTATATATGATAAGGACCATGAGTATGCTTTTTTTGAATTAAGTTTTTTGCACTACAGATGTGAAATATAGATTAATTTTATTTTTTTTTATAATAAAATCATTTATTCAAATATTTTTTAATTGCTAGTAGGAATAACTGTTACAACAACAATATATATATAATCAAGGAAATTAAAAAAAAAATAATTAAAATCTCAAAGACATTTATATTTTATTAACTAAAAGTTAAATAACGAATAAATCCATACTATACTGTAGGGGTGTGCACTATTCAAATTAAACCGAATAACCAAACCAAACCAAACCAAACCGAAATTTTATTTGGATTGGTTTTTTGTTTTTTCGGATTGATTTTGGATTAATAAATTACTTTGTTTGGTTTTGAATTTTAAAAGATAAAGACCGAAAAACCGAAAAAACCAAATTATATATATATATATATATATATATATATATATATATACTGCGTGGAGTCGCGTGGTGTGCCACATAAGTCAAAAAGTGTACAAAATTACAAAAAAAAATGAGTTCAAGGGGGTAATAGGACCTTAATTTAGTTATATATATACTGCATGGAGTCGCGTGGTGTGCCACATAAGTCAAAAGGTGTACAAAATTACAAAAAAAATGAGTTCAAGGGGGTAATAGGACCTTAATTTAGTTAAAGTGTGTCTCTGAAATTTCGGTCATAGTCTAGGGGTACTTGTGTCTTCTCCCTTTTATGTTTGAATTACATCTACAACAGGTATACTTATAAGTACTGTGTTTTAAGTTTTACTTATGGTTTATATTAGAAAGTATATTTAAGGGATTAAATATTATTACTTTGGTTATATATGTTATTAATTATTGACATAACCGAATAACCAAACTGAATAACCAAACCGAAAAAAGCCAAACCGAATAGAGAAAAACCAAACCAAACCAAATTTATTTTGGATCGGATTGGGTTACACTTTTACAAAACCAAAAACCGAAAATCCAAACCGAATAGTGTAAAACCAAACCAAAAAACTGAATGCACACCCCTACTATACTGTATCTACAGCGAATTAATAAACTCCTTGAAGCAAATACGTAATTTAAATTGAATTAATGAAAACTAAAATCTCGATTCTAAATTTCTTCGGAGTTGTTGTTTTACGAGTCACTTTGATGTGTAATATATTACTCCACTATTTTAAATAGGACAAATTACTTAAATACACAACACTTCTTTACCTATTATCAATATTTCCCTACTATTTAATAAAATACAAAAATCCCTTATTTCCCCCCAATTCAACTAAACCGATACTTTATTTGTTTGAAGCAAAATCAAATCTTTCCCATTCCCTAAATTTCGCCCCCAATCTCTCCCATTACAATTTCAGTTATCAATTTCAAAAAAATTTGAATTTGAAAAGAATCCTATCACTGTTAAACCGGATCAGAGTTCTAACTAGGGTTTTTCATCTTCTTCATTGTAATTTTCGCCATTTTTTTTTCTTTTATTTTGTATCAATCGTTTTATCTTCCATTATGCATCTAACATCTAAATAATCTCTAATGTTTTCTTCAGAAGATTTGAACAATAACGATTTCAGTTCTAAAAGGTTGGCTATTCCGATAACCATGACAAGTTCAAGTTCTAGCAAGAAAAAATTGAAGAAGAAAGTACATGCAACTACTTCAAAAGATCCGAAAACCCTCCAAAAAAGGGGTAGAAAGGTTGCCCCACCCATTGTTCGACCAACATTACCAAATGTAAGCATACATTTTTCCTAATTTTTATCATATATCTTACCCTTGTTTTTCCTAAAAATCTGATGATAAATAATTTTTTTATTTTTTTATTAAGTATCATCTGTGAATCGTGATTTTATTTGGTAATTGTTGAATGTATAAAAAGTTAAGAGAACTGTATTTAAGTTAAGTACTTAAATCACATTTTTTTTGTAGGTCAGATTTTGGTCACTGTTTATATAAGGAACAATTCAATTTGTGTACATTTATGTTTTTTTATGAAGTAGTTGTTATTTAGTATCAAACGAAATGAATATTATTGTATATAAGAAAATTGCTTAATTCAACAATTTTTCATGTAGTTTGATTTTTGTAATGTGAATCATAGTTAATGATAAGTCTCCATTGAAGTATACAATATGATTGATTTTGTGTACATATTATGTCTTCTTGTTTTTTAGTATCATATACTTTTTTATGATTGATAAAAATCATTTATGTAATTGCAGAATGTCAGTTATGTAATTAAACATATTCCAATGAACTGCTTAAAGTTTGGTCCTACCTACAACTCCAATTTTATTGAAGATTTAGTACTGTCAATAAAGGACCAAGGTATTGAGTTATTCAAGGATACCATATTTGCCCCATACCTTAATATCCCTAAATGCAACTATCAAGGTCAGATTACCAAGTGTTTATATCTGTTAGAGATTGAGCAGGGCAATCTAGCTAATGAAATTCACATTCGTCATGCCAAAGGGAATGTCTTGATATTTAGTATCACAGATTTTGCAATTATTACTGGTTTGAGATGTAAAGGAAATGTCAAAGATTTTAATTATCCAGCTTCAAA